TACATACATATATATACATATACATATACAAATATATATATATTTATATATATATATGTATGTGTGTGTTGTGTATGTGTGTGTTATCATAATTTAGGTTTAAATTTTAATACGTATGCATGAATATATATGCACACATATATATAGTAGAGAGAGGGACACATAGCGATATAAATATATCTGAGCGCATCGTATTTCACTTGTTCAATTGCCTCAGGTTTTCCGCGCAGCTTTCCTTTATTGACGAATAAAATCAAGATCGTTTGGACTGTACAATCTCGAAACTACCCGGCTTAGATAGCGAATAGTTAGGCTATGATACTCTCGCTGGCCTCATCTATGCTTGACATCTCTAACCTCGCGTGCTTGTGATGAATTGGTCCGTGACTTGCGCCAGAGATCGCTTGCTTCAAGCCTGGACTCGCATCTCCCATTATCCCCTCCGTGGTTAAACACATATCCATGCCATACTCATGTACTGGATAGCTGGCATTCGCCTCCGTCTCAGGCTTCATGCTGAACTCGCCTTCACTCTCCGTAAGAACCACATCACAAAGTCCTCCCGGAGACGAGGGCCTCCTTCTTCCTACAGTCTTCCCAATCGCACCCACGCTTGCAGCCCCACTAGCATTAGTCCTTCCCGCTGCGTTCGCACCAGTCAGTCCGCCATTTAGGAACGTGTGCTTTTCCGAGATAGGCTTCCAGTTGCTAGACGCTGGCCCAGGCGCTTCCAGAGTACCAAATACCAACGACGGTGCTATGACATGATCGTGCTCACTCTCCGATTCCTCTTCGTCATGTGGAGACAGGGGCGTTTCGCTGCTCTCTGCGATGGTTTGGACCCCAGGCCAAGACATGGAGCGACTGAGAAGATCCATTTTGGGCGGGGATGAGGCCGCAGACATCGTGCTCATGCCCAAGGTAGCATTGTTGCTGACACTCACACCCAGTGCGGGAGGGCGTCTACCTTCGTCATCACCCAGCATGCGCGCGTCACGCGAAGGGACCTCATCTATATTGGCCAATGGATCCGGCACACCCGCGGAATCGCATATTCCCTCTGGACCATCAGAATTCTCGCTAATTATAGATCTCGTGGCTTCAAACAGAGCCTTGTCCCTGTCGGTTCCAGACCTCGTATTTGGTGTCGAGTATGCTCGTTGCGGCTGTAATTGTAGCTGCGGCTGCGTCTGTACTCTGCTAGGATACGCATGCGAATTGATGTACGCGTGTGGTAGTGGAGGCGAATGCACAACTCCTTGCCCTCCAGAGTTTCTTCTACTACGATTTACACTAAAAGTGCCGTTGATAACCTCCTCACGATCTTCTAGGTCTTCCAGATACTGTTGTAAGTAAGGCCCCGAATTATTACCACCAGCAGATTCCTTGGATACACCGGTGCCAGACCTAGCACTCTCACTCTCAGCTGTGTTCAGCTGCTTTTCCAACACTGCTTCGTCATTCGCACTACGACTGTTTCTACCTATAGGCGACATAAGTGAGCCGAACACTGAGCGCTTTGGTGATTGTGAATGATTATCCGCACTCATACCCAGATCATTGCACAGTCGTCTCACGGATGTGGGAGACCAGTCATATCTGGTAGGTAAATTGTTTGCTCGCGCGAAATCCGAATTAGCGCCCGAGAGCAGTTCTCGATTAAATATTTCGCTATTTTCCGGTAGGAATGAGGGTGTAGCTGTAACTTGGCCCTTTTCGATGTTCTCCACCATCTTGTTCACAAACTGACTATTTCGCATTGTGCCGCCTGGGCTATACGTCGGCTTCTTCTGAGTATCTGTAAGCGATCTCATCAGAGTAGTTTTCTGTGATCCAGGACTACCGTTATCGGTACCCTTATGCGACATACTACGCTTCATATTCTGATTATTGCTCGAGTACGTCATATTCGGCGTACCAGGCTGTATGGGGGAGTTGATTGCGATAGCACTGTCTATCGCACTAAAAGCCCGCATCAGTGCACTGTCACTCATACCCGGAGACAGTGAGCTTAACTGCAGATGCTCACTTTCACCCGATTTGATCAGCCCGTGCAACTCTAACTCGGGTACCGATGCAAAGTCATGCACAGTCCCTCTACTATTCTTGCGGATGTGAGGTGAAGATGTGATGGGTAATCCCACAAAATTGCTCAGAAGCAAGCCCGTTCTAGGCTGATATATATCTCGTGGTCTGGGAGACGACTTTGCAGCATGCCCAGCTTGCAATTGTGTTCTGTTATTTCTTGGGGAGTGCTGATGCGGAGTATTTGGACCGTTGGAGCTCGCAGACTTCGAACTGACCGATGGATCAGTGCGTGGTGATCGAGGTGTGGGTCTAACTATAGTCTGATGGCAAAAGAAACACACCGTATCACTACCACCCAGTTCGCTGCTGTGATCAGGAAACTGTCGGTGACGCTGTATTGTGGGGTGAGAAGATGAATTTGTTTGTGAAATGTCTCTCAAAGCATTCATGAACTGCATGCTATTCACCCGACTTGTTCTTCTCTCCTGACTTCTCTTGTACGCCATCCACCTGGCATCTACTCTCGTCTGTATATCACTATCCGGCTCAGTCATCCTGTTAAAACCAGGTTTACTATCTCGGCGACTGTGACTTCTAGGGCTTAATTTGGCTGGGTATCGCGTATCAAAGGCAACCGGTCTGTGTACGGACGTACTAAATCTATCATGTAACCGATAATCGCCAGTAGTATTATGCAGATTTAAGCTCCTTCTCCTGTTATCTGTTGCCTCGAACTCAAACAGCGGAGGGAGCGATCTTCCGGCCAATGCACTCTCTCTGACACTTCCCACGGACCTAGCTCGAAATAACCTCTTAGCACCGCGCTTGGCATTTACTAAACTCATAAAATCCTTTTCCCTCTCCTTCTCACGTGAGAGGACAGCAGCTACATTGTGTGTGGTGAATCTATTGTCATTAGAAATGTCACTTTTATTATTGCCATTCGGTGTGTTTGAATTCTTTACGTCTGATATCTGGTCGCGAGCGAGCTGTTCATTTGATGTTTGTACTGGAACTTCACCCCACGACCGTCTTCTCACTTCTACTGGGGCGACTTTATCGGATGATACACCCTTTAGTCGCCTCAGAGAGGCTAAATCCTGACGTGCACTTGTCATGTTTGACGTTTACTAACCGTGTATGTGTATAAGGACGTTCTGTACATGAGCCGTATAGGCATGCTTATAGTTCTAGCGGGTAGCTCAGCTTGTATAGTGCGACACTGACTTGTTGCGCGCTCGAGTCTATTCTTGTCAAGCATTTATGCAAATAGCGTCCAATTGTCCACGAAATGCACAAGACATTCCTTCTAATATTTTTTTCAAAAGCAGCATTCATATAAAAGACTAAAAGAAATGCCATCTGTAAATATATAAGGTGTTTTTTTTTAAACAAATTACATAGCCTTCTAAATTATACTTCCATAAATAAATACATAGAAGGCTATGTATTTACATATATATATATATATTTTTTTTTTTTTAAAAAACCAAATGCCGAAAAACGGATTGTTACTATGTAATTTAGTAGCTTTCAAAATGGGTCTGCTCGAATTTACTGCCACAAATTGCTAAATTTCAAATTGCCACCAACAGTCAACTGTCAGTTTACAGTTTAAAAATAATATTAGTCACCGAATCACCAACGATGTGAGAGACAGTGAGTTCAGTCAGACATGATGATGACATCAACGTCGAAGTTTAACTCTCATGAAGAAGTTGAAGTCGAAGCTGGCGAACTCTCTTCTCTCTTGTTGCTTTCTCTTGTGTAGTGTTGTGAAACGATGTTCGGAATTACAGATAGTCAGGGGCTACAGGGAGTACAGGACTACAGGCTGATGGCCTGATGGCGGGCGACGGCTGATGCCTGATCCCACATTTTGACATTCCACATTGCTTAGCACTCAGCACTCAGCACTGACAGCAGTCGTTCTGAATACATATTTCTATCCCGATTTTAGTACTCTGCTCGTAAAATACAGTATTTTATGTAATTCTTGTTTCTTGTTTTTAAAACAGTCAAATACATATGTACTGAAATATGTACAGAACTATATATAAAAGCTGAATACTCTTTTTGTACAATTCTATTTATATCTATCAGTAGAGCAGGTCATTTTATTGTTAGTCCAGTACATAATCATATTTAGTTATTTACGTTATATTTATTTCTTTTAAATTGTTCTCTTTTTAAAAATAAATACAACTCTACTGATACTCTTTAAATATTTAGTAGTAGAGTATATACAATGTAGTCAGGCCATACATCACATCATTCAGATACGTATTGTGCGTTTTCTTAACAGATTTAGAAAGAGTCCCTCATCCTATTTCTTAATTATGAATCTATGTCCAAAATTATTTATTCTTCATAATTGAAAATTAGCATTAAGAACAAGATATCCCCGATTTTATATCACAATTTACATAATTAAGAATAAGGAATTATTCATTGATGAGCACAACTTAACTTATTAATTTTGCTTTAGTTCTTTAATTTTATTTCTTATTAAGAAATAATAAGAAATATATATATTATTAAGATTAAGTTATCAATTTATATCCATATTTCATTCTTAATATGTCATACGAGTGACACTGTGACAGACATACCCTTGGTGACTCATTGCAACCAGACCTGAATCGCCTGATCACATTTCACAAGTATTTAGACAGAACAGTGAGAAGTTGGGAATACAGAGCTACAGATACTGTGACAAACACGACATTAACTCAATATGTCCCACTGCCACAATATACACAGTCACGTCAATATGCAATCCACTTCCCGAAGATGGCGATTCTGCACGCCAGCGATGCTGGATGCCTTAAATGAACTACCTAAGGAGATACAAGCGATCTTACGCTTCCCTCCGATTGATCGGCGCTACAATTTTCTACTTATGGACACATTCATGTACAAATGTCTGGGTGTGTTGGGCATGCAGGATCCGAACTTATATATGGATGTGGAATTCCAGATACATGTTCAAGTTTACAGAGGCCGTCAAAAATATACAGTGGAAGGTACATTCGAGTGGTACTCTAGTACCGGCTGCATAGGTGCGGTATAAAAAGATATATACACAGACTTTAATGAACACCCCCAAGTAAGCAATGCAGCTGTAGTAATATTGTAGGGCAAATTATACAGCGAAAAAGACTATCCTGTCCGCGTTGCACTACTTGTCATACTGGTAGATGGCAGTGTTTTTTCGATTGTAAGGCACGACCCATTGAATCCAGCTCGGTTCGCAGACTTGACGGGCAGAAACTGAGCCCTATGAGAAACTAATAAAACATTTGTATGACATCATAAATATAGGTATAGATATATATTTATATAT